GTGTCGATTACATCCAATTGATAACCGAATAATAACATAAATCTAAAAAAATGGTTAAGACAAAAAAAAAAGAAAAATGGGAGATCAAATTGATACATATAATAAGTAAGAGTTGGACAATACATTACGATAATTATAAGAAGATAAGTGTAAAAATGAAAAAAGATTATTATGTCAAAAGATAATCAGTTAAAATATTTAAAAGTGACGAGCGAGAATGTGAATCAGGAATTTAAAATGAGAAATATGAGAACACAGTCAATATTAAAATAATTAGTTTAAATTTTATTATTAAAAATAATATAATAAAAATTTAAATCCAGATTATCTAATTTCCAATGCAAATTTCTTGGAAAGCATGATCCCGTTACTATCTGATTTTTTGTGAATATTCTCTGCATAAATTTATTTACTCTAACTTTCAGTTTTCTGGCTGTAACAAACAAAAATCATTTATGCGGGTAATCGCGTCACTTTATTTTTCCCTGATGTAGATGCATTAAAGAAGAGATTTTCTCTGAAGATCAATTAAAATATTATTTGCACGATACTTTGCGTGCCGCTATTGTTATCCGCAGGAAATTATCTATAATTTACGGCAACACGTTTCATATATCTGAATTTTCTAGCTATCACCGAACTGTTCGGCAATGCTATTGAAATGTAAGCTACATGGGACCTCCAGAAACTGTTCAACCCTTTTTGAGTTTCGAAGAACGCAGGATGGATACTGTTGCGTTTTTAATTACATGCGTGAAAGCGATGACATTCCCATGTAAGTTGTCTGTGTTTTCAAAATGTATTTTAAAATATATTTTCAAATTGTATGCTAGAAAACATACGCCACGCAATGGTTTAATCGCTCATTCAACTAGCTTATTCACGTGTAAGTAACACAAGTAGCATCTTTTAGGCAAACGACATATATATTTCCTGAGATATTTATCGTATATAATTCCAGTTATTTTATTATTTATATTACTTTATTGACTTATTATTATATTTTTATCTTAACAGAGAGAAAAAAGTAAATAAATTCTTATTATACTTGTAAATAAATTATTTTAAATGTATATAAATGTATAATATAAACTTGAAAATCCGATTGCACCCAATTCATTGCAATTGGTTCTCAACATGAACTGCATTATTTTTAATAAATTGTCTACAAAGTTGATTAGATCGCAGTTTGTAAATTCTATTGCAGAAAAATACTACTGTTTGCTTTAATTCCGTTCACACACGCGATGCGCTGCAAAGATTAACTACTATGACCTAGAAAAGTCTTCATATAGAATAATTTATGAATATTGTTTTGATTATTAATTTGTGAATACATTTTTCTAAACAAATATTTAATAGATATTGATTTTATTTATTTAAAATAAAGTCTTATTTAAATCAACAAACAAGTTTCAACATCAATTTATGTTTATGAGAAACATATATTTGATTCATCAATTTTATGATTAGCAATTTTATTATGCTATGTTTATATTTCAATATTAAAAAAACTATTCTTTATACTATTTTTTAATTTTAAAAACGACAGTCTTTTTTTATTATTCGAATTATTCATGTTAATATAATAATATAATAATGCATAGAAAAATATATTTATTAGTAAAATATAATTCTAGTAATAAAAAATTAATATTAAAATTAATAGTAATGTAAGTATAATTTTACATGGAAAAACAGATTTTTATACATTTTTATTATACTCTTTTAAATAATTAGTATATATATGTATATACATATACGTACATAATACATACAAGCTGTTCTACATTTGCTATATCATACATACATAAATGCTTAATGATATACCAAATACAGAGCAGCTTAATATGTCATAAAGAATATAGATTATTTAGTCTAGAAATCAATAACATTAAATATACATTTTATCCATCCGAAATATTAATGGTAATAATTATATTTTCACAGAATACACGGTAGAATAGATTTGTCAGACATAATAACAGAAACAAATTATATACACAAAGTAACAGATCTTGGAATAGAACGCGGTTTAACGGTTGTGATGGAGTCATTTGTGGAAGATTATTTTTATTCAATAATGCCTATTCGAGGTTGGAAGGTAAGTAGAAATGGTATTACGTACTATTTAAATTAAGAAAGCAAAACAGCGTTCTCTAATATCCCACGTTTTTAAGGATGATTTCATTTTGGAGTGAAAATTAAATTTACCATTAAGAAAATTTTTTATCATTCACCCGAAATTAAAATCCGACAAAGCCTTTTTTTTAATTAATAAAAATGATTTGTTTAACCTAGATTGTGAGAAATTTGATAATGCATAATTAGACAGAGTGTTCCTACAATGTTTCGCTTAACTTTGTTAGCGTGTCTTGCTTATCAAGGTAATGATAAAAGTTTGAATGAATATTAGTATAAAAAACTTTTGTTGTTGAAAATAGTTGAAAAGAAAGAAATTGCATAGTTCCAGGAAAATTTCATGGAAATAATTAACAATCTTAATTAAATTGTAGGATTTCAATTTAGTTTTTTTGAGACTTGAATATATCAAAGAACAGCAGTGTAAAACAGATTTTTTTTTTCTGTTATTTCAATAATTGCAAAATTATGTTGACATTTTAGAAAAAAAATATGTTCCATAAATTTTCTTACTTTGCACATATATTATGCCATCGATTTCTAGCTCTTTGGTATATAAAAAACGAATTTAACGTATAATTTAGAAAATGTCTCGCATGACAATTACCTGGAAATATCTTCGTCTTGCGAAAACGGGTCATATTCGGCTCGTAACGAGTTGTTATCACGAGTGCTGAATATGAAAAGGGACTAATCGAGCGAAATGAAGATTTATTCTCGCAATGCTTTATCATGTTAAAACAGCGTTAACGTTCAATTCTATAGTGCAAAGCATCATAAAAGTCCTTCTTTTTAAATATATTAGATACACAAAATAATTAAGATATTATATTTTACTAATTATCATTGTAATAAATTTGTAATAATAAATATTTAATGTTTAATTACATTCAAAGTAAATCGAGTAAGGTTACTACAGTTATAAATATGGATATACGGATGCATTCATAAAGTGACATATCCGTAAATTTTTAGAAATAAATAACAAAACCCTTATTTTTTTTATTTATTCGCATTAATATTAAGCAAACATACTTGAAAATTTTAATTTAATAATTTAAATTACACAAATTAAGAAATATAAAGGTTCAAAATTATATGTAATGATAAAAACACTCGAAATTAACTTTTCAGAAAAATCTACACAAAGAAGATTGATATCAAAATCATATTTGATTGCAAAGAGTAACAAATTGATCTGATTTATCATTATTCATAATATACACATAAAGTTCCTAATTTTAAACTATTGATCAACTATTTTTTAAAATTATTTTCTAAGCATTGCTCAAGCAATTATTTAAATTAATTAAAATGTACAGTATTATATACAGTATATTTTAAACGTATTACGCATCAAATCTATTGCCATGATGAAGGTAATCATTAGTTGCCATATCATGAACTTTTTCCATGCTTACCGTGCCATTACAGACCACCTGTGCTTCATTCTCGCATAGTGCATAGTGATAAAAAGCTCGTGAAAGTCATTAGCGGCGCGATATAATCGCGCGTTTCCTTCATTTCGCCATATTTGCAGTGTAGTGTGTACTTTAGACTATAGTAGCACTTACCGAGAACTCGCATTCGATAAAAAATGTTGGAAGATTCTATTCTTTTGTCGAGATATTTTTGCCTTTATACTTTCTATTATAGTTTAGATATATTGCAAGATTAACCAGACTTATTAAAGAAATATTGCACTATAAATATAATTATTATATTTTAATAAGTTGTAAATAAGTATTTGTTTTTAATTCTTATTAAATATTAAATAAATAGTTATTATATAAGAAACCTTAAAGATCTTTATCTTAAAACTAAAATAAATTTATTAAATAAATTATATAATTGTTTATTAATTATTATTCAATTATAATAATAATATATATATATATATATATATATATATATATATATATATATATATATATAATAAACTGAAATGTATGTTTTATGTTAATAATCGCGATTTGTTTTCTATTCGTTTAAATAGACGCCAAAATGGACGCCGAGGCAGCGTTGCTGGAAAATTCACCGACTTTGTCAACGATCTCGTCGGATTCGACGGACGCAACGTATTCGGGACCCGGCTCGCCCTATTCTCCGGAATCGCCGATCATCGTCACGTCCTCCTATAAAAAAAACGTGACGATGACGTCACACCCAGAGCAACGCCCAGACATCCACTGCCATTCAGGAAGCCGAACTTCCGGATACGACCGCCCTACCTCATGATCTGCATTAGCATCATCGAGGTAAATGAATTCTGAGTATATAAAAAGTGACTACTGATGATTGTAAAAATGATAATAATTACCTGATGATATTAGTGTTCGAAGCCTTAAGTGAAAGAAACACTCGTTTCTTGAAAAGCCACGAAAAGCAACAATCGAAAAATATTTTTGCTTCCTTAGTATATATATCTTTATTAATAAGATGTTTATTTGTCACTTACTTGTGCAATTATCACGAAAAAAAAAAGAAAAAAAAGAATAAATTAAAACAGTTTGCATAAAATGCGATAACTAATTCAAAATAATGTACTACGATTTTATTATAGTAGCGCACTTTTCTAAATCGTCATTTAATAGCAGCAATAATAATTACAACATTGTCGAATATTTCTTCTTTCGCGCGAAATTATCTCGTCGAATTTTATATACTATTTTTATATACTATTGTTACATTCACTTCTCCGTTACGCGCAAATAATTATATTGTTCTTGAAGTTGAAGATAAGATTTTCCCGTCGTAGAGCGCAAAACATATCGCAGGCACATTCCGGGGGAGTGTAAGTAAGCCAAGTGGAAAAAGAAAGAACGGCTGCAAAACGGCTGTGCTTTAAGCTCCGCAAGATTTCTCATTAGCGGAAACGAACGTGTCGCTGTTCGATCCTCGCGAGGGAGCAAGGATGAAAGGAAAGCGCAGCGGCGGGATTCCTTTCCAATTATACGCGCGAATATTCGCCAGAGAGTATATCCGGAACCGGTAGATATTCCGCTGATGGCTGATCCGCGAAAAACTCCAAAAAAAAAAGTGGAAGCTCACCAAGTGGCTTTTTCGCTCGATAACATTCCCCTCGAGAACTTCTCGTCTTCGCGATCTCAGTCGGAAAGTGAACAAGCAGCGAGGGGAGAGGGAGCGGGGGCGGGGGAGGAGGGGAGGTGGGGGGAGGGGGGGCGGGGAGGGAGTGGGTACGGCGGC